TTGGAGTAAAGCCAGCAAAATAAGTATTCTTCCCTTGAGAAAGAGCTATTGGGCACAGATTAAGACTGAATTCCTGACCATGAGACAATGACCCTGCAACCTGAGCTGCTTGAAATAAGTTGAATGTGATATAATTTGAGTGTGCCAAGCAACAGCATTCTGTCATCAGCGGAAGCAGTATATACAAGACCAAAATTGAGTAGGGCCTGCAGTCTCAGATAAATGCCACAAGCAGATGGCTCACACTCCCAGGGCATCTGTTCACAATGCCATATCATATATATATATGGTGAATATATATATATATTTTTTAATTTTCACCTTTTTTTAAAAAAATAAATTTTTATTTCTGATTTTTCACTGACTGTCATTGCCAGCAGAGAAAGTCATCTGGGTAACACTGAGTCTTTGAAATATACTGAAATTAGTTTTATGAATATTTTATTTCCATGTATTCTTGTTGGGTGCCGAATTTAGAATATATCCATTACTTAGGGCCTGTCAAAAACAAACTCCCTCAGTTTTTAACCATTTCAAAATTATCTTATCCCCTACCCTGAATAAACAAACATTCAGGTCACCACTAAATCTAAGTTTACTGTGGTTTTTTTATAGTTTTTGAAAATACTATTCCATTATCTTACATTTGCTCCATAGGCCACTATCTTATTTGCTTATATTGTTGCTGTTGAAAAGTTAACTGCCAGTCTAAATAACATGCCTTTGTAGATACGTTTTGTCTCTCTAATTGATTTTAAGAACTTCACTTCTCTTTGGAATTCTTCAGTTTAATTACAAAGTATCTAGCTTAATATATTTTTAATTTATCCTGAGCCCTGATTCTTAGAGTTCATGACCTTTTTCATTTCTGAAAAATTTTCATTTCAAGTACTGTCTCCCACATTTTCTTTTATTTCCCCTATATGGTTCACTTAGTCATGTGTTGGACCCTATCATTTATCTTCCAGGTTCTTAAACTATGTTTTTTTTTTCATGTTTGTGTACATCTCTTTGTTGCATTTTGTATATTTTCTCATAAATACCTTCCAAATCATTGAATTCTATATGCACTTCTGTTTTTTGTCCTTTTTCCTATTTATACCATCTACATTGTTTTCATTTTGAATGGTTATGTTTTCCTGATCACTTTTACAAAATCATGCTTGGTCTCTTCTTCCTTGTGCTTATTTTAAAAATTTAATCTTTTATATATTTGATACATAAATTTTTTATATTCATTATCACATAATACCAATGCATGAAATCCTTGGGTATCAATTGTGCCCTTGTTTTCATTTGATTATTTGTGCTAGCTCTGATTCATAGAGGTGTGTTTGTCATTTGCCAGTTAATTTTTCACTGCGAGCCCTTATTTGGATGATCATAATCAATGGGAATCTTGACATGGCCTTATGAAGGTGCTAGGAATTTTTTTTTCCTGGCAAATTCTTCTTCTAGCTTTGTGCAAAGACGTCAGTTCTAGTTTCTTATCTTATGCAGATCTAAATTCTTTTATCACCTTTCTCAGTTCCACTTTCAAGACTGGGGCTCTGGGTTGTTTTTCTCTGCAGGATAACTTCAATCTCTCCTCACCTTTCTTGCATCTTCTTTTGCATTAATTCTGGAATTGTTCTTTTTTTTTTTTTTTTTTTTTTTTAAGTAGGCTCCATGCCCAGCATGTAGCCCAATGCAGGGCTTGAACTCATGACCATGAGATCAAGACCATGAGATCAAGACATGAGCTGATACCAAGATTTGGACACTTAACCCACTGAGCCACCCAGGTGACCCTGGACTAGTTCTTAAAATATTATTCAGGATGGTTATTCAGTAATAAACTATTATGTTGGCTTTACTTCTTCCCATCTCCCATTCAATTCTTGGGATTTGCTTTACATTTTGCAGCCTTGGGACTCAGTTATATATATATTTAAAAGCATTTTATATTCCACTTCTTTCCACATCTAACATTTTTATACTTTGTAAGTTGGCTTATATATTTTTATAGAAAATATGACCCACTGTTTTTGCCAAACTAGAAGCAGTTTGTGTTCATTTTTTGTAAATGTCTTATATCTCCTTTCTCATGTTGTACATTCTTTTATTTCTGGACACTGTCTTATTCTTCATTGTATCTGTCCTATCTTCCTGACCCCATTCCCAGTGTCTAGCATAAATAGGTGTTCAGTCTTTAAAAAAGAAAGATAAAACAGTGTGTCTACTTGAAAATGAATTTGCTGTCACTTTTGAATATTTTGCTGTTTGGAAGTCTCAGAGATTTTTAAATGCCTCATAAAAATTATTGGCAATATAATTCAATTAAAATTATGTGATCATTTTTTTTCTATCTTGGGTCATATCCAAGCTCCATCATTTAATACTCATGGGATCTTGGGGAACTGATTAATGATTTTTAAAGCATAAGTAGAGAATAGCACAAGAGGGGGTTTTGGACATAATGAGACAATATGTATGAAGCACCTAGCACAGTGTTAGAACATTGGGATCTACAAGGCATTTTTCCCTTCCTCAGAAAACCCGGTAAAGAGAACACTAGTTGCTATCAGTATCTATTTATTCCTTGTCCCTTTTGGTGCACATAGAGAAAAAGTGATAAAGAAATTATCAATCCGGGGTGCCTGGGTGGCTCAGTCGTTAAGCGTCTGGCTTCGGCTCAGGTCGTTGTCCCAAGGTCCTGGGATCGAGCCCTACATCGGGCTCCCTGCTCCACAGGAAGCCTACTTCTCCCTCTCCCACTCCCCCTGCTTGTGTTCCCTCTCTCACTGTGTCTCTGTCAAATAAATAAAATCTTAAAAAAAAAAAAGAAATTATCAATTGAAAATAATTTTATTTTTTGGCAACAAAATATAAATTTGCCTTATTAAATATAATGCTACTGGATTATACTGATTTACTTTGGGTGATTCCAGTTCATTTCTTGTCTAAATGATGAATACCACTTGAAACAGTATACGGTAATGTTATCTTTAGTAGGCAGTAACAGTTAATAAAGGAGTTTCCCAGCCAAAATGAGGCAATAAACAGCTATGACAGCAAGAAAATATGTGATTTTTTTTCTAAATGGAAAATAGTGAACATATAGAGTGTTATGGGACCTGAGTTCAGAATCAGGATATAAAAGGAATGTTTCAGGGTTTGCATGTCTCTTTACACTGTTGCTTTCCTTCCCTCTTCCCCTTTTGTCTCCTTTTCTTCCTCCTTCTTTATTCCTCTATTTTTCACTCTCTCCCTTCTACCTACCTGACTGAAGGATGGAAAACAAGTGTGGGTAGCAACAACTTCTGGTTTGGGGTGTGGCTGAGATGAGAATTGATAGTCTTTAACTGAAATATTTATTTATTTGACAGAGAGAGAGATAGCGAGAGCAGGAACACAAGCAGGGGGAGTGGGAGAGGGAGAAGCAGGCTTCCCGCCAAGCAGGGAAATTACGGATTTTCCTCCCAGGATCCTGAATGCCCATACTTTAGACCTTTATATATATATAAATATAAATAAATAAATAAATAAATAAATAAATAAATAAATAAATAAATATATATATATATATATACATATATATATATATATAGTGGGTCCCTTTTCTAGAATATGGAGAAAATCTTACTTTCCTAACATTTTTATTAAATGTTTAGATACATCCCTGTCCCTGATCTATGGTCCTGATTTTCACTCTACATTCCCCAATTAATTCTTATAGTCTCATGGGGTGTCTTGTTTCTTGCCATTATATTGCAGAAATGAAAAGAAAGTAGTTGAAAAAGAACTTTGATATGCCTTCAAGAAATAAAATATAAAAGAATATTTTGAGTGTTCAACTTCACATAATTTCTATGATTATGCAGCTTCATAGAATTTTATTATGAATACATCAGTGTGTCCTGAACTTCAGTATACTGTTCATTCTCAATATGCATTCTGAAATCATATTTCAGTTGTAGAAGCAAATTAATATGAATTGACAAGAGGATCAGTGTGCTGTAGAAGAAAGAACACTGCCCTCGGCAGTAGTAGGAAATTTGAATTGTAGTTTCTAATACCAAATTACTGTATTTTCTCATAAATACTCTTAACTTCTTTGGGCCCAAGTTATGTGATTTGTAAAACAATGACCTCCAATGTCCCTTCAACTTTTTTTTTATTTATTTATTTTAAAGATTTTATTTATTTATTTGACAGAGAGGGAGATAGCGAGAGCAGGAACACAAGCAGGGGGAATGGGAGAGGGAGAAGCAGGCTTCCTGCCGAGCAGGGAGCCCAATGTGGGACTCGATCCCAGGACCCTGGGATCATGACCTGAGCCGAAGGCAGACGCTTAATGACTGAGCCACCCAGGTGCCCGTCCCTTCAACTTCTAAAATCCTATGGTCTTGGGCGCCTGGGTGGCTTGGTCAGTTAAGCATCTGCCTTCGGCTCAGATCATGATCTCAGGGTCCTGGGATTGAGCTCTGTGTCAGGCTCCCTGCTCAGCAGGGAGTCTGCTTATCCCTCTCCCTCTGCCCCTCCCCCCCCACCCCCGCTCATGCTCTCTCTCTCTGAAATAAGTAAATAAAATCTTTAAAAATCCTATGGTACTCAATTTATCCAAACAAGCAATATGAGGTTTCTATTTAATAACTAAGGATACACATTTTGAACTCACAGAGAAATTCTAATAATTGGGTCTGAAATATTTGAATATGTTTTAGCGACCACAATAGTGTTCTAAATTACATGAATGTGATTAAGTAAGCACAGGAATTAATACAGAACATTGCTGTTACTTAAAACTTTACTGTGGTCCTCCCCCGGTCCCCCACCCCATTTATGTGCCTGCCCTTTGTTTCTTAAAATTTTCTTTCAGGAGATAGCATGATCATAAAGGCTTACATTGTTTAAATATGGTATACACAGGGCAATAAATATCCATGTTTAGCTAGATACAGAAAAGGTGCAGTTGCTCAAGTTAAATATTTTCTAAAGACACTCCTCTGAAAGAGTAAATGAACTGCTCTGGGAGTCATTTGTTAGGGTTGCAGATAGTTACCAAGGGTATCCAGTCTAAGAGGCAAATCTGGAAAAGAAAGGGTAGAGAAAAGAGAAAGGATGTTTCTAATTATGGATTCACCTATTATAACTGCCTGATCTCCCAGCGACCTATCAAGTGGTGCTCTTCTGCTTGGCCGAAATGTTAGCATTCCCAAGGAATGAAGCTTTTTGTTTCCTTTGGATTTCTTGTGTTTTCATCTCTGCATGGGTTCAGCAAGGAACAAAAGACTTTCAGTGTGGCAATGGGTTGTCCTTGCCTCCTGACAACGTGTGTGACTTCACAGATCAGTGTGGGGACAAGAGTGATGAACAGCAATGTAAGTGCTATTCTCCTTTGTCCAATTTCAGTTCCCTGGACACCTTCAAGTCAGGGGCTGACGGGTAGCCCAGGGAGATTTGGCTAGATACCTGGCCCTCGTGGATTTCATTTATACGCCTTTAATGTAAATCGGAAACTAAAATATACTTTTCAATAGAGATGGGTTCATAGACCAAAATTCCTCTAATTAAACAATATCAAATTGCTAAGATTCTAACTGGAGGGAACGTATTCTAAAGTAGTTTTTACTGGTTATAAAGAAGGAAGTGAAATGCAGTCTTGTAGTTTTTAATGTATCAGGGAAGCAAAATTCCAAAGAAGCTCATGATTGAAGCTTTAAAATGCTGTGATGGAAATGATGAGCTTAAATTTGGAATCAATATGGAAATGTTTGAGATGACTTTTAGGTTGCATGAATAGATTTGATTTTTGCCTATAGGACACTACCTTCCCCGTGAGTTGGTACCGACTGCCCACAGAGTACAACATGGGCTCGTAGCCTTTGATTCTGGGGTGCAGGAAACAGCACCAGCTTAGGGGAGTGCAGGACCTAGATTTGGATCCTGCATAAACCATGTACTAATTGTGTGATCTTGAACGTCCATCTCATTAAAGAGGTTGTAAAGTGAGATAAATTGACTCTCAGCAGCGGGAAAATGCTCCATTGCTTACTGGTGTTATATGAAAAAGGAAACTGTTCACCAAGGCAAGACATGGGTAAAGACGTGTATGTTTCTGTAGTTTCTCTTGCAATCTGACGTCCTGAAGGAATACTGCATTTCACTAGTGGAATGAAGGCAATCGCCTTTCACAAACATTTTCATACAATTAAGTGGGTTCATTGTTGGTTCATAGTAACTACTGGTTCAATTATCTGGAGGCACTAATTCTAGTATTTTAGAGCACCTTACTCAAACATATTTTCTAGTTTTTATTCAGATGCTATGTTAAGTCATGTTTATAGAATTTTTCATTTTCTTCTGCTAAAATAAGTTTCTATATATTCAGTTTTGCTATTGTTGGTAAGTTTCTATACATTCAGTTTTGCTATTGTTGGTAAGTTTCTATATATTCAGTTTTGCTATTGTTGGACTTCTACTTACATATTCAGTTGTTGTTACAGTAGAACAAGAACAGTGAATACTGAAAAATCTCTTCTCTGCAGAAGAAAACAAGCTATTGATTTGTTTCCCATAGTTTGGGATAGTGATCATGCCATTAGTAACTGTTAAATACAAAATGCAGCCGAAGACAGGGATTCATTTATATTTGTCCAATTTGCCCAGAGAGGCTGGATGTGGGTGTGCTGCCCTTTCTCTGACCTGTCTGGGAAAACCCTCGCTGTTCTTTGGTGAGCAGCAAAGAGGAACCACTTGGCTGGTTTGACAAGAAGTGCAAAGTCCCTTCCCTTATTAATCTCTGTGGAGCTTCCTTTAGCACGCTTGCTGTGATAACATGCATGGTCCTGCCTCAGGGAAAAGGTTAATGTGAAAGAAGGAGAAAGCTGCCGAGTGCAAAAGGTCTCGGCTGCATGAAAAATTCTAATAACTCACGGCCGTGGAGGGAAACAAAGGAACAGATCTGTGAATAAACAGATTTCATTTTAAATGTTACATTAGGAGATCACCTTTTGGCTTTTTCACTTTTCATTTTCATTTCTGAGAACTTTCCACTTTGGTATTTTATTTAAAATGTGGACCATAACCTGTTGGTAAAATCGAGAATCACTTAGAAGTGTGAGTTTCTTTTGTACACCATAGGAGGGGGGAAATGTTGTGGAAGAATAATGATGGCCAAGCAATTTTTCTCATAAAAATTTGTGACGCTGAAACTTATGGGTGAGACTTTTTTTTAAAAAAGTTAACTTTATAATGATGTTAAAATAGTCCCTTTTTGAAAAAAAAAATCAACCTGTGTCCCTTTTAAGCATCCAAATGGTGTGACCTTTAAAGAAATAGATTATTATGTTGACTTTTCGTAATGAAATTGGCCTAGTTGAAGTTGAATTTCAGATGCAACTGATTCTATTAATATGTTTTTGAGAATTTTCTTATTTTACATGATGGACCTTCTTTTCAGAATACTTGAACTTTTTGTTTTAACTCAGAATTTTTTAAAGATGGGAGGTTTAGAAAGACAATCTTCACAATGAAATAAATTCTATTTATACACGATATTGAGCACTTAATATATAGTGATTAAGAAAAATAATTTTTAGGTATCACAACTGTTTGGTTCTAGTGTTGACAAGAATCCCTCTTCCTTATAATTTATTGATATCCTGAGCCAGGGAAATAAATGTTGTAGTCCTGGGTGTCTTTTTTAAAAAATCATGTTCCAAGCATTGTGTTGTCTGCTTCCATGCTGATCCGCATTGCCCATTCTCCCTCATTCTCTTTGATTTGTATTTGTTTATTTTAATATTGGAGCCATTATAGCAAGTACAGAGAAAGTCTAGCTTCTCTCCTAGCAATTTCTCAAAATTATTTGATATGCAAAGGCTTTATTTTTACTTAAGAATAAAGACAGTAATCTTGCTTATATTGCTACCATTCAGATCCAAGTCAACTGGAAGATTATAAACTACTGTTGATACAGTGTTGAGATATATATCCCATGAAATATGTTGAATACTGTTGAAGTGTTGCCAGAAAATAAATATTCTTAGATAATTACTTTTGCATACCTGAAGTCAGTGTTACAATTAACTGTTACATACATTCACTTTTAGAGCTAACTCCTGACTCTAAAGAAAAAACATATATTCTGTTAATCTGACACTTTTCTCTCCTACCTACCCATCACACTTAGGAACTTTCTGTTTGGTCTAGTATTTTTATAAGGAGATAGGAATCTATTTTATACTTTGATTTGATGGAATACATAAAATTTTGTGGTTTTACCTTATTTCTTTTGCAAACTTTTTGGATTTAGGAAGAAGAATTTTTTTCCAAAAAAGGTATTTACCTTTTTAGGTATTTACTTTGTATAAATCTAAATTTATATGTGAAAAACATAAAAATTACCTTAGAGGTGCATTCTCAAAATCTGAGAGGTGACAGTGTTTAATCAGGTGATGTTTAAGTACAAATGTTATTACTTCAATAGGATGACATGTCAACTACTTTAAAAAAGTAATTGATTCATTGAAGTACTTGAAGTTAAAGAATTAATAGACTGAAATGTGAGATTTCATGCACAATACTTACCTTACTACTACATTGTATGCAAAGTGTTTGATGTATATTTTCATGAAACAACTAAAAATCCTAAGCAACATGTCTCAGTTTGGGCTACCATAACAAATACCATGAAATGGGTGGCCTTTAATTCTCGTAGTCCTGGAAGCTGAAAAGTCTAGGATCAAAGTACTTGCAGATTTGGTGTCTGATGAGGGCCCTTCTCCTGGTTTGCAGGTAGCTGTTTTTTGGTTTTGGTTTTTGTTTTAAGATTTATTTATTTATTTGAGAGAGAGCGAGAGAGCACGTATGTGTACGTAAGGGGAGTTGAGGGGCAGAGGGAGAGGGAGAGAGAGTCTCAAACAGACTCCACGCTGAGCACAGAGCTGACCTAGGGCTCAGTCTCATGACCCCAAGATCATAACCTGAGCAGAAACAAAGAGTCAGATGCTCAACCACCTAGGTGCCCCTGCAGATAGCTGTTTTTTCACTGTGTCCTCACATGGTGGGGAGAGAGCTTTGGCTTCTCTTCCTCCTCTATAAAGACGTTAATCCCATTATGAAGGTGTCCTACTCGTGACTCAGTCACTTCTCAAAAGCCCCACCTCCAAATATCTTAACACTGGGGATTAAAGATTCAACGTACGAATTTTGAAGGGACACAGATATTGAGTCCATAGCACAATAAAATTTAAGAAATCTAGTAATAAATATATAGAGTCTAGCTGAAGAAAATGATAAAAAATTACTGATGTATGGAAGAAAGACTCATGACAAGACTATTTCCTAATGGTGTGCTTCAGTAGTGTAAATATATACATTTTCACATTCATGAAATCAATCTAGTTAAATTCTAATATAGAGTATAACCAGGATAAATTTTGGAATTTATCTGGAAATCTGATTAAAGTGATTTTCAAGTTCATTCAGAAAAATGAGTGACAACAGCTAGAAGAGGGGAGAAGAAAATGATTAATAATGGGAAATAACTTTTATTAGTAGATTCATAACAGGTATCATGTAAACTATTCCAACATTGTGAAAGTTCAAAATTAGAAAAGAATCTCATCACTAGAAATAGTAAGTTTCTATATATAAAACATATTAAGAAATATAACACAATATCTATAATATATTAAAAAAATAATGGTGGCATTCCAAATCAGTTTATAGTACCTCCTATAAGCCAAGCACTGTTGAGAAATTTCCACAGAGTATTTCATTTAATCTTCACCAAACATCAAAATAATAAGAACTATTATTATTCCCAGTTTCCAGCTTGGTAAAGAGAGGCTCAGAATAAGTAAACTAAAATGCCAAAGGACACAGAGTTATTTAGTGGAGGAACTGGAATTCACAACCAGTTCTTTCTGATTCTGGAACCCTTAATTTTTTTTTTTTAAAGATTTTATTTATTTATTTGAGAGGGAGAGAGGGAGAGTGGGAGAGAGAGAGAATGCATGAGCGGAAAGTGGGGGAGAAGCAGACTCCCCACTGAGCAAGGAGCCCAACACCCAGGCTTAATCCCAGGAACCGGAGATCATGACCTAAGCCGAAGGCAGACACTTACCCAACTGAGCCACCCAGGCGCACCCTGGAACCCTTAATTCTAACCACTATACAACACTAACTGTGTTTTTATTTGCAACAAATGAAGATGAGGCAATTTTATGGGATAAATTTCTTATTTACTCCACACATCAAAATTTCCAGAAGGTAAAGTGTTAAATGTAGAAAATAAAGCCCTAGTCTTTATTATTTTTGACAATAAGTTTTGAAGTCAGGAAAAGTTTTTCTTTGCTTTGAGGTGTAATAAATC